TTTGCTTAATTCATTCTACTACAGAGTTTGATTTTATAATGTTGACCACAGGATTTTCCTCCAAAGAATGAATACATGGAACAGGGTTGACAATTTGGGAATTTTATTTATTTATTTATTCATTTTAATGCTGTGCCACTACTGGTAAGGAAAATGAAAAGCAATTCTATTTGATAGCCACATCTTTCCTTTTATTTTGAGGTATGCCATTGATATACTCTGAATTCCTCAGTTAAAAATATCAATAGATGGCTGAATGTGTGGTTCAGCTGTAATGCATATATTTAGCATACACGAGACACTGGATTTCATCTCCATCTTAAGAACATACACACCCATCTTGGTCCCCTACAAATTTGTAAGGAATAAAATATTGGGAGTTTTTATTATTTTTTTTATTTTTGAAAGTGAATGCTACCAGTGTATTCAAAGGTTTGCAAAAGTAAAATTCTCATTTATTTTTGGTACTATCAGTGTATTGTTATAAGTGGTATTTTCTATCTGTGAAATTCAAGTTAAATGAAAACATCTTGAAAATTGCAGAATTTGCTAGATAAAAATCTTGAGGTTCAAAGTGCCACATTTGAATATTTAGTCAAATCAAAGATGATGCCTTAAGGAAGATATCAAGGGTTCTAAAAGCCATTTTTGGAAATTCTCAGAACTGAAAAGGTACATACAGATCACTTATTAAGATAGTCCATTGTCTGAGAGTCTGTGCAAATTAATGTGCTTGACCAGAAAAGTAAATTATCACACTAGGTTTCAGAATTCAGAGAAACATTCAAATTATATTTTAAATGCATATGCAATATTAGCTTAAAACAGAAATAAGAACCAAATGACACGATGGAATCACGTATTGATAAAAATCAATGTAATCTGAAAATATCTTAAACCAAAAAGTATTTAATAATCTAAACTACCACAAATTATAGCACACAGCAGAGTCTGCTCTAGTGGAATGATTAACTCCCCCATCATGTAGCTGCTTTGGTGCCGTGGCTCAGTGCCATAGTAAGAGTATTTTCTTACTTATCACTACCTCTTGAAAAGATAAAACATTCAGTATATGGTCTCTGTGGGTAGCGATTTAGATAGAAGCAGGCTTGAAAAACACTAGAGACAAACCCCTCCTTCACAGTCCAGTTTGTAAAGCCAAAGTCTGGAGTAGCAGGGCATCAACTGCTGCTCAGTAGAATGGGACCTGTGTCATATCTTTGACTGTGGGTGGAAATATGACATCTGGAACTGCCTAGGAAATTGTAATTGGTCACTATCTAAACTAGATGCCAGGACCCTAAACCTTATATTACCATTAGCAGGAGGCTTTACAAACTGTTAGCCCTTATGTAAGAGGGCCTCAACTCAAATGAACTTTCCAATGAACTGGTCAGGAGAATATCCATTAGGAAGGCTGTCTGCTCTAGAAACCACCTAAAATACAGGCTGACACAATGGCCTCGCTGGCCCCTGTCCACCTCATCCCTTGATGGTGCCCCACTTTACTCTGTAATAAATGTCCTCTGTCTTTTATACTACACTCTGTCGTTTCTGAATTCTTTCAATGGAGATTGCAAGGCCTGGGAAGCCAAGGGGAGACCAGAGTGCAAACCCAGCAACAGTTCTTACTGAAGGCATTGCTTTAACACCACCATGAAGAAAAAAGCATTAGGTCATCTTCTTGAACTATGCCATTCTCTTTCTTATTGGGTGGGTTTGGGGGCCTCATCCCCTTCTACACTGAGGGCATTGACTATATCCTACCTTATTGGCAAATCCAGTGCCCCAAACACAATTTCATTCTTTCACAGAATTCTTGTTAATAATTTTAAAAAGTAACAGTGGGTAAAAGAAGTTTCTATGACTCAAACATGTGATTTTATAGCTTTATAAATAGCTTCACCTATTCTTGATAGTAATTTTCAGCACTAGAGAAATGACTTTGAGACTAATTTTGCTAACTATATCAAGCAAAATACATAGGAAAAAACAAACACCAAAGCACCAAAAAGCAACACTGAAAATCTTTAACGGGTCTTGTGCTCATCTGAGAGAACCTGTCAAGGTTACCTCAATAGTCTATACATTTCTATGCTTGTCTGGGCAAAAGTAACTCAATACCTGTGTTTCTTAATGTCATTGATCCCATTCTTCAGATTCCCCAGCCTTTCTGTCGGATTTTGCCTGAAATGACAATTTTTGAAGGAGATTTAAAATGGTAATACTTGAGTGGTTTCTAAATAGAATCATATTTTTTATGTGTATGAGTGTATTGCCTGCATGTGTTTAAGTGCACCCATGTCCTGCAATGCCTGTGGAGGTCAGAGAAGGTGTCAGATCCCCTGAAACCAGAGCTACAGATGGTTGTTAACCATCATGTGGGTGCTGGGAATTGAATACAGGTCCTCTGCAAGAGCAGTCAGTTAGGAGATGACTCTCCTAACCACTGAGTCATCTCTCCAGCCCATATCATTTGTTTTTAAATTCATTTATTTATTCAATAATATCCATTAAATCTTTCTATTAATGAGAGGAAAGGGAGACAACAGAGTCATGGTTCTTCCATAGGGGAGCCACAGTTGAGTGGCTGAATATATCTATCAATTCTTTAAGTGAGCTACAAAGAAATATTTAGTAAATACTGTCTTATCAGCTCTGCTAAAAAGAGGGGGGCACTTTAGAGAACCGTTTACCTTCAAGTTGCAAACTTAGAAGCTTGCGGGAATTCCTACTGGCAATTCCTAGCCAGGCTTAAAGTCCCAGCTTTACTTTCAATGCTCTAAAGAATGTTCAAACGTGATGTGGGGAAAGGAGCAGCACCAAAGGGATTTAAGCCAAAAAATTCTGGACGTCTCCAATATTTTTCTGATAAGTTATTTTCAGAGTAAGTAGAAACCTAGAGTAATTTAAAAGGGCAGAGATGTTTGTTTGTTGTTTGTTTGTTTAAAAAGAACATTAAAAGAGGACATGGTGTAACACTTTAACATCACCTCCAGGTTTCTCACAAAGTAAAGAGACTGTAAATTACTTTGCTTTCACCTAAACTTTGTGGTTCTATTTTTCCCATAACAGAGATGGCATCCAAAAGCAACTTGCAAAGTTTCTAAGTACATATGATGATTTGGTGATATGAAGAAAACTCAAAGTTTTTAAAAATATAATAGCAACATGGAAAAGTACAAGAAGTAAACATGTAGCTAATTTTACAGTGTCTATACATTGCAGAGGAGGGGGAAGCCTTCCCACTTTTTCCAACATTAAGGGTCACTGACCATCATTCTCACCTGCAAAGTCTCCGGATCAAATCCTCAGGCCGCCTTGTTATCTTTCTGGGAAAATCCATTTTTTCAATTCCTTTGAGAATCAAATTGTAGGTCATCATTTGGTCTATCCCAGAAAAGGGAGGGCTAGAGAAGATCCGAAATAGAACACACTAGAATGAGAGTTTGAGACGCTTCCAAAACCAACTTTTCTTCCCTTTTCTCTTCCTACTTCCCTCCTCCTTCTTCTCTCTTTCCCTTCTCCCTTCTCTCCCACTAATTATTGTTCAAGAGATTTAGATACGTTTTAGGAAAACACTTCATTAATTTCACATCATTTAACAGACACACACAGGTAGTTTTTCAAGGAGTGATGAACACTAAAAAGAAAACAAAGGGAGAGGACTGAGTGACAAAGGGAGGGAATGGTTTTCTTTCTTTTCTTGACTTTAAGACAGAGCATAGAAAAGGCCTCTTCCTTTAATTGACTATAGAAAATAAATACAAGTGAAGAGAGGGAGGGGATGAGACACACAGCTGCCTGGTTGTCTGTGGGCATCAAGTTTGAGACCAGAAGTACAAAGGCATTCGTCAAGAGTGGGCAAGGTGGGCAGTGGATGGTGGAGTGAGTAACCCACAGAGGGATGTGGGAGATGAAGCAGCATCCAGTGGGCTATGGTAAGGATCTGACGATGCATTCTGAGTGAGTAATCAAATTTATAGTAGCTCCAGTCAGCTGTTCTCAATGCAGGGAAGAAAACGTGGTATGGGGTGAGCCTGGCAACCTGACTGCAGACAGTAGTGTGAAGGTGGTGAAACAGAGCTCACTACCTACACTATGAAAACTCTATTCATGTCTGCTAAGATTTGAACATAGCAATGCTAATCTCAAAGTGATGGTTCTTGAAAGTGAGGCTTACAAAGCTAATTATGTAATGAGGGCAAAGCCATCCGTGAATGGGATTAGTGCCCTTCTCAGAGGACAGAATGCTGGCCGGACATCATTTTCCTATGTAAGAAGATTTCAGAAGTTACAACTAGAAAGTGAGTCTTCACCATAACTCAACCATGCCAGCACCGTGTGCTAAGGTGTCCAATCTCCCAACTGCAAGAAGTAAGTGGCCTCTTTTTAATCTACCCAGCTTATAGCATTTCTCTGTAAATTTTTAGTTAAGACAGATAGTAAAGCCAGTGAGATTTGCTAATATAGTACATTGAAATGTGAAAGAGGAAAAAAGGATTTAAAAAATGATCTTTGGCTTGGATTCCTACAGAAAGGAGCTACCAGGATTAAGAGAAGGGAAACTAAGGAAGAATTGATTGCTGTAATTGGAACTGGAATGTCTTACAAAGGCCTGATCCTCTGCCTCTGGCATAATGGGGAGGTGGTGGAGCAAGGAGTACTTTGAGAACAAGGAGTACTAGAAGGAAGTTAAACCACTTGGCTGTGCCCTTGATTGTGATATCTGAATGTTCATTTTTTCTTTTTCTTTGTGTTCTGGCTACCATCAGGTGAACACAACTCCTTTGCCACACATTTCTGTCATAATGTCTTGTGCTACTGCATTCCAAGATCTGTGGGATTTCTAAAACATAGAAATTTCTAAAACTTAGAGCCAAATTTCTAAAACTTAGAGCCAAATTTCTAAAACTTAGAGCCAAAATAAATATTTTATTATTCATAAATGACTTCAAATATTTTGCCAGAGCAATGGAAAGCTGACGGACCAGTAGGGATGCATAGAAAGTTACTGGGAAAAGAATAAGGATTACGTTTTCAGCATCCATGTGGCACTGATAAGGCAGGCAGTTGGATTTATGAGTCTAGCATTGAGGAAAGAAGTTAAAGAAGTATGATTTGGGGTTATCACACTGCATTTATGGCCATGAACTTGCTGCTATTACTCAATGAGTGGTAGACAGAAAAGAGGCCAAGGACTAACTGATTCAGTGTTTACCTATCAGGAAGACAAGAAGAACTGGCAATGGGGGCCTGAGACAGAGCCACTAGTGCAAGATAAGGAGAAAGAGGGAGTTCCTGGAGGCCACCGAAGGGAATATTTCAATGAATATATTTCTGAGTAAAAACTGATTGAGATTTGACCACCAATGATGGATAACATTTTATTTCATATATCATTTTGATTTTTAAAAACACTTTTATGTCTTATGCCATTTAGTTTTATGAAAATTAAAGAGAGAAATTAAATACTGTGTTATATCTAATCTGTGCTTGAGGCTTTTGAAACTCAGAATTTTCAATCTTGGTAGCTAACTTGAAATGAAGGCAGTACACTAATTTTCCAATAATGCTTCATTTGTAAAGAAAATGAGGTAGGAAATAGAAACATTACTGTGAAATTTTCGATACTTAAATACAGACATATACACACATATGTATATTGACAACTATAATATTTTTTGTTATCTTCTTTAGCTCTTAATTCATTTATAGTTACCTGCTGAAACATTACAGACCAGGAAATTTAAAATTAACTTTCTTCTGCCCTACCCTGAAAACCTTTGGCAAAATAACTTCCTAACGTCTTTATGACAGCTCAAGGCCACCTTAGCAATTTCAAGTTGTTGAATTTTCTCTCCTTCCTTTGTTTCCTCAATTTCTTTTGCTATTCTATGCAACAACTTTTTCAGCTGATGAAGACTGAGGTGTATATTTTCCAGTACCTACAGGAACCATCATAGAGCTCACAGAAATTTCTAAGATGGGGGGGCAGGAATTCTTGAAACAGAATTCTTTGTTCTCAAAAACTTAAATAACTTTTGTTCTCAGTGAATAACTGTAAATTTCTTATTCTTTCCATTTAATCAAAAGCAACGAATATTTGAATATGATTATAGATAATACAGATTTAGATAAAATACAGATCTTTTATATATATTTTCCCAGTGTATGTAGACAATGATGTGGACAACAGGCATGGGTAATCTAACACTGAATTTTGTATATTTAAAACATTTAAGAAGGTCAAACCTCTGTGGTAGAGTCCTTGTCTAGAATGCACAAAACAATAGTTTTGATCCTTACTAGGGCAAAAATGAAAATTAAAAAAAAACAGCTCAAGAAGATTCTATGAACTCTTTTTGTTAAGTATATGTTGAAACTTCATCTCCACCAGTAGACAGACCTATTTCAGTATGTCTTAGACAATTCCATGAGCAAATCTCTCTAAAATTAAAGTTGAGTATATCTGGCTATAAAAGGTTATATGGATGATCATAAAACATGCATGTGTAGTGGGAAGTGCGTCACAATGAGAGCCAGGAGATGTTGGATCAAATTATAGATCTTAAGCAGATCGTTTTGTGACCTGGTTTTCTAACTTATAAAATTTAAATCATAATATAATCATAAAAATTTGAGTCATAAAATAATAAGAATTCTTGCCTTATCTTCCACACAAGTGTATGAAAACCAAATTATATATGCATATATGTATGGATATATACATATATACCAGATTATATGTACATATAGGATTTATATGCAGTATTTTACATATGTAAAATAGTATTACATGGATCTTGTGTTGTGTGTGTGTGTGACCATGTGTGTGTGCATGAGCGTGTGTGTGCATGTGCACGTATTTGTGGATGTACATATGTACTATATGTGTGTTAAATATTTGGGAGCCTGGATTCATTAGTATAACCTTTTAATCTCCTTGGGAATGGTGATTCCATTTTAACTGCTGAAACCCATGCTGTATCTTGTCTCTGCTCATTAGCACTTTTAGAAAAGAGATGGCAAGGAATTTAAAATTTAAGTTCTGTATTGTAGCTTTCTCTTACCCCCTCTGGCTAATGACATCTGGGGAAAATGCAAGACTGGTCACACTGAGTTTGACTGATCAAGGAATTTAACGGAATGAGAAAAATAGCTTTTGTCATTTATAAGAAGGAAATGCTCACATAGCCCCCAACTTCCATTCTTTTACTCTTACACTAGATTGTTAAACCTTCCCTTTCTGAAAGTGCTGTCTATAATAATGGACCTTGCCATTTGATAGAAACCATAGCATAGCAGTTCTGTACTTTTTTCCTTCAGCTTTCAGAATCCTTCATCCGTGATGTAAACTTTCAAATCCGCTATTTTGAAACAATGTAAAGAAGAAAAGGTAACACTCTTAAAATATCTTCAAAATGTCAATTTTTGAATTATAAATTCTTATCATGAATGAGCTATCTTTACACTGTTCTGAAAAAAGAGACTGAACAAAGCTTGCACCCAGGTCCACACTTACTTTCCAGTTAGCAGCTCATATACTAGAATTCCCAGGGACCAAAAGTCAACACTGAAGTCATGTCCTTTGTTCAAAATGACCTCAGGAGCTACATACTCTGGAGTCCCACAGAATGTCCAAGTTTTCTGTCCAGAACCTATTTTCTTAGCAAATCCAAAGTCAACCTAGAATAGAATATCAAAGAAAACTGAAGTCATCATAAAAATCATGCTTCTTTTATTAATTAATTTTTTATGTGTATGACTATTACGTCTGCATGTATGTAAGTGCACCCATGTCATGCAGTGCCTGCGGAGGACAGAAGAGGGCATTTGATCCCCTGGAACTGGAGCTGGAGACAATTGTTAGCCACCATGCTGTTGCTGGGATACAAACCCAGGTCTTCTGCAAGAACAGCCAGTATTCTTAACCACTGGGTCATCTCTCCAGCCCTAGTTTTTTTAAAAAATCATTCTGTTAATGTTCTAAGTTTTTCTATACCTCAGACTTTCCCTCAAAATCCACATGGTCACAGGCACACACACATCCCACTAAAATATTCCTTTACAGGTCATGTGCTAATTTAGTTGCTTAAGAGGAAATGCCCTGTACATACCTCCACACTCATTACCCCAGCAGAAAACTCAAATTTTCTATTATGCTCCCCTGGCAAGCAAGACTAAGGCATATTGTAATTCAATAGCATATTTCTGGGGTTGAAGAGGGAGAGCAGAAGTGCAAGAAGCATTGTGCCTTTAAAGCTCCACCAGGGAAATAAAACTGATAACAAGATTGAGAGTTTGGGGAGAAATAAGGCTAAGAAGGGAGGCTAAAACCTCTGCACAGTCCTTCAAACCTACTGTGCACAGTGTCTGCCTCCTGTCTCTTGTGGCAGCCCAAGGCAAAGCTACCAACATCCCTTCCCAGGTTTGGTTGTGTTCTGAACACTTCTGGTCCCTATTATTGAGGTAGGCCTAAACAGTCCCTGCATTAACTTATTTATTCTGAAAATGTAGATCCAGTAGGTACTCAAGATCAGAATTTGTTTTAAGCTATCATATAGAGTTGACTGTGAGCCAAGAGTGCTTGGAAAATGTACACATGTGGTTAACTAGATACCCTGGCATACGTAACATAACAGGGAACAAAATATAAACTCAGAGTGAGAAAAAGTTTGGATCCTTGGAACACTGGGGAGATAGGCCTGGAGGATACAAATGGTAAGGGACACATGCAGTTGTCCTCAACGAGGGATTAGGAACTCTCCTGAGGGAACAACACTTCTCCAAGCTTTCACTCAATGAACTTTGCATACAACAAACAAGAAATACTGAATAGAAGCAGTGTATAATTGAAATCCTGCCCTGAAACACAAACAACTGGCTTCCTTGTGCAGAGGCACATAGCATGTACCTTTCCAGCTCTAATATACACATATCTTATTTTAGCAAAATCACCTTCTACCTCCCTCAGGTAAACAGGTACAGAAATTATTCCTGGGCTTCAACATGCTCATTTTAATAGCTTCATTACACACAATCTCAATATTATAGTAATAATATAGGCTTAAAAACATAAATGAACAAAGTTAACATCAAAATAAGCCCTCACTTAAAAAAAGTAGCATATTAATATTTAAACTATTTGTTTTCCCTTAAATAAATCTCTTTGAAAGTTTCCCCTTTTCTGAAATGTATTAGTGCTTATCACACAACATCAAGGATTTCCTTACTGCAAAAAAAGGAGTCTAAAGTAGGTTTTTACTGCCTTCCTTCATATTCACAGCATACTCACAGAGATTACATCTGAGAGACGGCTGGGAATACTATAAAATTAAAATCTGTAACCAGCTGATAGTCCTCAGGGAAAGAAACGATAATGAAAGCTCTCCCTAATTTTATAAAGACTGAAATTTAAGAGACAAGAAAGCAATGCCTATAACTGCAATTGGGCACATGCATATAGGGAAACATTATATTTTGTTGGTTTATAACAGCCTCGAAACTGATTTTTAATTGCATTTACTTTTCCTTTTAAGAATTACCAGAAGTTATTTTGAGGGTTATTCTAACTTTAAAAGTGGTATGTTTTTCATTTGAATTACTAGCTTTGCTTTTGTAATATTTGCCTATTTGCCCACTGGGATGGCAATAGTTCTATTAAAATTTCTTATATGAAAATTATAATTTTTTAGCTACTCTGATCATTTAACATTGATCTAATCTCTTTGGTCAGAGTTAACTGCCATTTAAAGCTATCCAGAGTTGTGTGACTATGGTATAAGACCCCAGATATATGTGAAGTTCTGTGTGCTTTCTATAAGAAGCAAACTATCTCTGTTTCATAGTGCCAGGAATACATCACAGAGCCTTTCCTCCTCTCCAGTAGACAGTGGAAAGGTAAGTTCCTTCCTTCCTTTATTCACGATATTTATTAAACACCATTATATGCCAACTACCAGAGCACAGACAAAACCTTAGGTCTCAAAAGGCTTATACGGAAAAGAGGAGAAAGATATCTGGCATAACAATATATCCTAATGATGACAGAATGCCACGAAGTAACATCTGCTCTGCTTGGAGGAAACACGCAGTATAGCTAGGCACCAGGGTAAGATAAATTGCATTGGAAATAAGAGGACCAGAAAAAATCAGTAAGGAGGCAGCAATTGGGCATATTTGAAGGCAATCTGAATGAAATAAGAGAGAGCTCTGTAAAAATCTGAGCAAAAGGACCCTGCCAGGATACAGAGCTAGCACACACACCTACAATGTGGCACAGGGGCGAAGCTCAAGACCTGCTGAGAAGGCCAATGTGCTGGGGCCGTGATGCATGAGGGCGAGAGAAGGGAAGCAGATCCCACACGGGCTGCAACCCACAGAAAGAACTTGGAGTCTTCTTCTAAGAAGTCCCCATAAGAATTTGAAAAAGGGGTAGGATAGCATGTCTGTTATATTCTCAGGGGATCAAGGAAGGAAGAAAATTGAGAATTCCCTGCTCCTTTATGTTCTCAAATTCTACTTGAAAAATCAGGCTGTTAAGGATCTCTCGAAAAGTTGTATGTGGGTTTTGAATTATCTGAGCTAAATTTCCACTATTAAAGATGGCTTATGTTAAGCTGCAAGCTTTAAAACATTATGTCTCTGATGGCTGTGATGAACTAGGTTTTAAGATACTTCCAAACCTGTGACCCTGACTACATCATTCAGAAAAAGAAAAATTAGGATGTGGCTTTTTAAAACTGGAATCCCATAAGTATGAGCTTCTTCCCAGAAGTTTCTCTCTAGGTCAGGAAACTTCTCAGATATTGGTTCTGTCAGTCACATAAAAATGGGCACAAAGCGATCAGTCTAGTTAACCCAGATGATTCATGGAGACAATATTCTAAAAATGTATTTATGTGGCATTTTAAGGGCACCTTCTTTACCGGAGTCTAGACAAGGGTAAAATGGAATCCATTTACCCTTTCTGCCAACTTCCAAAGTTGACTTAATGTCCTGATCCTAATGTCCATCCTCTAGACAGACTGCAGTGGTGGTTTCCATGGAATGGCAGGAAAAGGTTAAGGGTGGAGGAGCCTTTTATGAAAACCTCCAGGCTATGGATGTGGTGATTCTCTGAAGTACTCAGGGGTGCTGAGGTGGGTGAGAGACAGGGAAGCATTTTATGTACAAAGGCAAACTAGAAAAATCTTTTGAGACTCATCTCATACCACCATCTCCTTGAAGTGTTCCTTGAGTTACAGAGCCTATTTCTCTCTCAAACAAGGCTCTCTACACTGTTTATATCCTACCACCACATCTCTGAGGGCAGCACTTTATAACTGAGTGACTAAACCTAGCTCCTTGAGAAGAGACCTCATATGTACTCATTCTATATCTTACTCTGGAACACTGCAGATGTTCATCTTCTGCTTGATGGGAAAAAAAGAAAGATAATTGTTGACATCAGTTTCAGTAAGATATATTGAAGTCTAGGAAGGCCATGCATACTGGTATGAGGTCAGATTTGAACCAGAGCAATACTAGAAGTCTCTCAAGAAGTCTCCAAGTAGTTGAACATTTTATCCCCAGTTGATGTTTTGTTTTGGGAGTTCTTACAAAGTGTGGCCATGCTGGAGGAAGCATGTCACTGGGGGCAGGCTTAGAGGGTTCTTAAGCCTTGCCAGATCTCCAGTCAGCTCTGCTTCCTGTGCCTGCTTGAAGATGTGAGAGCTTAGCTTCTGCTCCTACATCAGCCACCTCTGCCACCACGCCTCCCCACCATGATGGAATCTTGTCCCTTTGTAACTGTAAGCTAAATAAACTCTTCCTTTTATAAGTTCCCTTGATTGTGATGTTTCTATCACATCAACAGAAAAGTAACTAATACAGTCAACTTAACAGAATCTAAGATCACCTAGGAGATGGACCTCTGGGCATTCCTGTAGAGCATTATCTTGACTGCATTAACTGTGGTGGAAAGACCTACACACAGCATGTGTTCAACACTCTGCTTCTTGACAATGGATGTGAAGTGATTAGCTGCTTCAGGCTCTTGCCATCTTGACTTCCCCACCATTATGGACTGTATCCTTGAGCTATGAGTCAGAATAAGGTCCCCTTTAAGTTTCTCCTGTCAGAGTATTTTATTACAACAGCAAAAGAAATTAAGATACCCATGTATTACTGGTGTGTGTTGTTTAATCTATATATATTTGGTTTTCTCCCATTAACTTTCTATAATTGATCTATATTTCAATACCATGAGCTCTGAGAGCAGACACTGTGGTGTCTTCATTCAACTATTCAAATAACACAATATTATTCACAGGCATAGTAATAAAATAGGCCTAATCCTTCTCTCCCATCACATGTGAATAGAATCACTGTCATTCCATTTACTTATATGTAAAAGCATAACAGGCTCCAACCTTGCGGCATCTGTGAAGTTTTCTTGTTGACATCGATTTTGAGAAATTCTTGATCATTATTCTTTCTAATATTACTTCTTTTCTCCTCTCCTTCAAGGTGCATTCCATTACTCTCAATTAGATTTTTTGTAATTGCTCCACAGTCCTTGGATAATCTGCTTTTGTGTGTGTGTGTGTGTGTGTGTGTGTGTGTGTGTGTGTGTGTGTTTGTTTCGGCAGTCTTTGGTCTCTTTAATTTTCAGTTTTTGAGATTTCTACTGATACATCCTCAAA